TCCAGCCAGAGTTACGCGTGTAACTGTGTTAACCATATGTCCGTAAAACGCGGTCTAACCATAGCCTCGTTAGTTTCTCTCTCCGCCGCACGTCTCACCTCTCCTTTCCGTTTCTCTCGTCTCTCAGCCGACTTTACCACCAGTTTGGATTAGCGCGTACGCTAATCGACCGCCGCTCGTCCTCGTCGGCTCGCCGTTCGCTCGTGATGCGCATGAGATCCATCGTCCGACGCGAAATACCCAGAATCAGCTGGAAATGCCATCGCAACGCGTTTTCATCGTGAGACAGCTCTCTTCGCCTTCGTAAGGAAGACGAGAGATGCTTCACGACAAGTCCCAGCCGTAAATTGCAGTCTGGTATTGCGAACGCTCCGTCGCGATGTACGCTCTTCGACACATGTGTGAGCGCCCGCGGTCTTTCCCGCGTTCGAGCGGGTTCTGGCTCTCGCGGCTGGGCCTTGGGGAAGAGAGGCGGTATCGCTTTTGTAAACACGAAACCTCCCCCCCGGTGGTGTCCCCCGACGCCCCGGGAAGTCGAGTCGTTAAAGTCATGAAATTCGTTGAGAGACTCCGAAGGGGTGACCGCGAGCGAGTATCTGCGAGCCTTAAGGTTTTTCACCGCATCTCCCGTCGTCGAGTTCCGCCGACGTCGCTCATCGACTATCGGCGAGTGCATGATTTCAAAGGTATAATATTCCTGGGATGAGATAAGTATGAAAAATGACTGTACTTACCTACCGCTTGTCTAAAAGAAAAATAAAAGATCGGTTTCGGGATGAGGCTCTCATTATCATTTATTTATTTTATCAATAATTTCAACACATACGTTCGTACTTATAAATGGCCTTCAGCAGCGAGTACGATTTATCGGCGAGAGCTATCTATCAGCGCGACTCACCCCGTAATGTGCGTCGCTGATGGCCGCGTTTCAATTCTCCGGCTCGCGTTCGCGCTCGGTTCGCAGACGACGATGAATCGCACGCGACGGTTCGACGAGAACGACATCGGCGGGAGAAGTGTCGCGGCGCGCCGGCTTCATGAAACGCTGCCGCTGCCGCCGGCTCCATTCGTTTCAATTGTATCGCGATGGGGCGCACCAGCGTGAAATTAATCGCACGGCGGCGGTGTCTTTGTCGAGTGGCGGCGGCGGCGGCGCGCGCATGACCTTTATTATCGCAACACGTTCGAAAGAACAGACGGATCTAATGACCCCGAACCTTGAGAACGGGCTCGCGGACGTGACACTCGCACGCGTCTAATTATTCATTTGCAGGACAAACGTATCTCTCTCGCTCTCTCTCTCTCTCTCTCTCTCTCGCTGTCTCTCTCTTTCTCTCTTGCTCCGAAGGAGATTCCTTCTCTTCGATTTAAATCGCTGCGCTCGGGCATGCGGATTATTTCGAGGTTTTGCAGGTAAAGTGATGTTGACACGCAGTCGATTAGTGTTTATTCGTTATTAAAGCGGCTGATCATATTGAGACGCACGGAGGGATTTTTCAAAATTTTATTTTTATGTATTTTATCTAAGAATGACCGTATAATCTCTCTTGTGTATTGGAATTTATTATGACTTGGGTCATTCTGATCTTTCTTGTCTTACGCTAAAAGGCTTTCCCGTAAATGAAGAGGATTGAAGATGAGAGAAAATTAAATCGCGATTTCTTACCGCAGCCGAGATGCGAATAGCACAAATCATGCGCTTTTAATTAACTTTACTACACTTGACGTCGATATGAGAAAAAGAAATGCGATGATATGGGCGTGTTTATCAAAACGCCCGTTGGAAACGAGTTAATACGTCGTGAGTCGAGCGGATCGGCGTACAATCATTATTAACCTCCTGCGCAAAAAGAGGACGGGACGAGGCAGGGAATAAAGCGGTTACATAAGCGCGGAAGAGTACGTCGAACAGAATGGAACACCCACCAATCTCTTTCTATTTCTCCCTCTGTCTTTCGCTATATCTCGAGCGAGGAGGAACGTTTCCTGCATTAGGTACGTACGTTCACGGTCGTAAAGGCGCGATGATCTGTGGGGCAGAGGGCGAGCGGCGGCTGGTACCGAGGGGGTTGCAAATTGAATAACAAACGTTCACCCTCCTCGGTTAAATCACCGAAAAAGCCATCCCCCGGACTAGCACGCTGCCTAGACGTTAACCGCACCCCCCGCGAATTGCCGCGCGCGGCAACCCCCGACGACCCTGGCGACCCTCCTTCCCTCTCAGTCCCCGACTGCTTTGCATAACGATCTTATTTCGTAATCTCTACCATATTGATCCAGTTTACGGCTGCGGCGTGCAGTGAAAATTGTTTATAGCGGTGCCGCCATCGCCATCAGGATGGCGACAACGCGGCATCGTCGCTCCTTGCCGCTCCTGGCGAGATTAATCTCGTCCTCGCGGATCGTAAAGATCCAATTTCAGAATTTAATTCGTTTTCCGAGAGCGTTTGGCGAACGTTCCGCGTTTCTTTCTTTCTCCCTCTCTGTTCCGCGAAACGAGGTGTGTAATTTCGGGGCGAAAGGATGCGGAAGAGATATCGATTCTCTCTCGGGACCGTTATGAGAACTTATTAGCGTCGTCTCACGCCTGCGTGTCTGAGCACATGCGCTCTCCCCCTGACGCAATCGCGTCCACGATTATCATTGCTGTCATTGTTTGAGGAATATCGCGCGTGTTATAATCAATTACGATTGTGGCCGCGCGGCGGCGGCGGCGGCGGCGGCGGCGGCGACGGCGGCGGCGGCGGCGATGATGGCGGGATGCGCGGAGGAATCAACTTTATAGAAGCTCGTAATGATCGCATGACGCGGCTACTCCGCTGTTTAGAGCCGAGAAGAGAGAGCGAGCCGAGTCATTCTCGCTAATAAGATCGAGAGCCGCGGCTACGTATCGGACGCATTTCCGTTGCGCTCGCGAGACTATGACGACGACGACGACGACGACGACGAGCACGTCTGCTCGCCGTAATCGCGTAATCGGCGATCTCCGAAAGGAGAAGACGGAGAAAGGTCGGAGCGAAATCCTGCAGCGGGGAAATAAAGTAACACGAGAGAACGACAGAGGGGTGGGCGAAGAGAGGGGCGGAGCGGGGGAGGTCTGATGTTATGACGGGACATTTCACGGTTGGCAGGCCGCGGGATTTAACGGCCCGTGCGATAATATCGTCCCGAGTGCTCGTGTCCCTGGCGTGCTCCGTCGCACGGATCTATTCCTCGCCACCGTCGCTATTCCGAGGACCCTTTACATGGACGCGCTCCCTCGAGTATCGATGCCGAACGTGTTCTCGCGTTTCCGGGAGACGCTTATGAATGTACTACTGTTGCTGTGTGCGTCGGGATTAGTCATTAGCATAAGAGCGATTCATAGTTGAGCTCGTTCTCGTCTCGTGGAAATCCCGCGAGAGTCAGCCGGCGGAAACAGTAACATTGGTGGTCTTCTTCTCAACCTTCGCTATAAGTCGCTTTTTAAGAATCGGCAGGTGCATGAGGAAAATCGAGTTAAGAAGTGGTAGGGATTTTGCATAAACTATAGGAAAAAAGGACTTTTTCTTGCTGGACATTGGCGGCAAGAGTGAGCTTTGTGGATGAGAAGTACGATCGAATAGAGTTTTCGTTATTCACAAAAGCATTATTTATTTTCTCTTTCTCACTTTAAAATGAATTTCTATAATTTTCATATAATAATACAGTAATAAGAAGAGTTAATAATAATAATAATAATAATAATAATAATTAATATATAATTAATAATAATTATATTGTATGACATTATATAATATATTATAAGACATATATATAATATTATATAATTAATATAATTATATAGTATTATATAATATCGTCATTATATAATATTATACAATTATGATGATAATAATTAATTAATTAATTAATAATAATTCATTGATAATAGTGCGTTACTACATCCAAAGAGGGGTGGGCTGATATGGGTTATCGTTCGTGTGAATTCCAAGTTCCAAACGCAATGAACAAATTGTCCGGAAAGAAATTCCAAATTCGCTAAGGGGAAATCAGTAATTACTTTCTCGTAAGACAACGCTCAAGGCCCTATGTGGTATATGAAGTCGTTTGGAACCTGTCCGTGGATGGACCGAACGTGTGTCTGTGTACGTATGTACGATTGAGGGTGTGTCAGTGTCGGTGTATGTGTGCGTGTGTACATCGTATGTTACGTACTCCACGGTAGTTTCACCTCAGAATTCGTTGCCTCGTCTCTCGCCCTTTGCGCATGCACGGAAGGAGAAGAGGCGGTCGTGGGGCGCGAAAATTCCTCCGTTCTTGGTGTATGATACATCGCGACAAGTGCATTATGTATATATATATATTTCTATATATACGTATATAAATGTATACACACGCACGTGTGTATGTGTATATTTATAGACGTATCTTTATATAAGTATATTTATATATTTATACGGGTTACCTTTTTACAACATTACACCGCTTAATTAATATAATATCATTTCATTCCTCTCTCTCTCTTTCTCTCTCTCTCTCTCTCTCTCTCACACACACTCTCACACTCTTTCCCTTTCTCTCACTTTCTCTCTCTCTCTCTCTCTCTCTCTCTCTCTCTCTCTCTCCTCTCGCACACTTTATATATATTTATATATATATATATATATTATGTACAAACGAGAAATATCCTGAAATATCCGCGTATTACGAGGAGCGTATTCCGTACTCGGAATCGGGACGGGGAGCCAGATTCGTCATGTCTATTCTCCGTGTATGCCGTCGTGTCTATACGTGTGTCATGTATAATGTGCCTGCGCGTTACACGTGAACGCTGCGGACGGACAAGTGCGATGGATAGAGAGTGATGGTAGTGGTGGTGGTGGTGGTGATGGTGATGGTGGTGGTGGTGGTGGTGGTGGTGATGGTGGTGGTGGTGGTGGTGGTGGTGGTGGTGGTGGTGGTGGTAGTGGTGGTCGTGGTGATGGTGGTGGTGGTAGTGGTGGTGATGGTGATGGTGATGGTGATGGTGATGATGATGATGATGGTGATGGTAATGGTGATGGTGATGATAATGATAATGATAATGATGATAGTAGTGATGGTAAAGTGTCTGATGGTAAATTGGACGTTAGAGAGTGTGTGTATTACGTGTGTGTTACGTGTATGTATGGTATGTGCGCGCGCTCATTCGTAAAACCGCTTAGAGACTATGTACAGGCGCGGGGGACGAGGGTGAGGGAGTCTGCGCGGTCCCCGGCGTGCCAGGATTCTGTTGCACGGAATAGGAGTTACTCTGTCGGGAGTGTTGCTGGTGCGATTGGTGGTGATGGTGATGATGGTGGTGATGGTGGTGGTTTTGGTGTTGCTGTTGTTGTTGGTGGTGATGGTGGTGGGAGGCGGTGGTAGAGGAGGCAGCGGCAGACGGATTGATATTCGCGTGATTCTGCATGAGGTTCAGGTTGAGGGGGTAGGATAGGGGGGAGCCCAGGGCCGTTGCGGCAGCGGTACTGCAGGCACCGGCTCCGGGCCCCACCGGGCTCAGTGCATGCTCATCCCCGCGTGCGGGTGGTGGGCCGCCGGTACGGAGGTTGCGTGATGATGAGGATGGTGCATTAGAGGCGGGAGATGCGGGTGGTGGGGATGGTGTGGGGTCAGAGGCGGTGGGGTCATCTGTATTGGAGTCATGGGTGTTGTCGGCTGATGGCCGAGAGTGGTGGTGGTGGTCTGGGGGGAGGTGGTGTTGCTGGTGTCCTGGCCCACCGCCGCCGCCGCCGCCGCCGCCGCCGCCGCCAGCTGCTGCTGCTGCTGCTGCTGCTGCTGCTGCTGGGCCTGTGGAGGTTGCTGCTGCTGCTGCTGCTGCGGCGGCGGCTGCGGCTGCGGCACCGAGTTGGAAGTGGGACTCTGCTGACTCCCGTTGTCCTCGCTGTCTGAGCAGGACTCTGCCGACGAGCTCCCCGCTCCCCCCTTGCCCTTGCTGCCGCTGCTGCTGCTGCTGCTGCTGTGGGTCTTGACGTGCTTCGCGAGATGGTCGCTGCGCATGAACCGCTTGTTGCAGACCGGGCAGGCGAATCTCTTTTCGCCGGTGTGGGTTCGAAGGTGCCGCTGCAACTCATCCGAACGTGTGAACCGCTTGCCACAGAAAAGCCAGTTGCAAACAAACGGTCGCTCACCAGTGTGCCACCGTAAGTGGGCCTTCAGATGCGACGTTTTCCCGTAGACCTTGCCGCAACCCGGTATGTGACAGCTATGGATGTTCTTCTTCCTGAGGTGCACGCCGGCGGGACCGAGTCTCTCGGCTTCTTGACAATTCGGGCAATCGCAGGTGGCGCGACCGGTGTAGCGCCTCTGTGAGCGCGGCGACGGCGCTTGGCTCACACCGGCGCCGCCGACACCGACGCCACCGCCGCTGCCTTGGGGACTACCGGCGCCGGCGCCGGCGCCGGCGGCGGTCGCGGCGGCGTGGTGGTGCAGCCCGAAACCGGGCGGCCCGCCCGGTAGCATCGACTTGTACGTGTCTTGCAATAGATTGTGACCGGCGGTCGTCGCCGTGGTCAGCAGGTGATTGCCGGCCAATGCGAGGCTCGTCGAATAGTCGGCAGAGTAATTGGCCATTTGCGCAGCGTGCACGCCGACGCCGACGGTGCTGCTCACGTCCAGCCAGCCGCCGGCGGTCGCCGCGCCGTGCACGTCCCACCAGCCGTCGCTCGCTTTGATACCGCCGTGCGTAGCGCCGGGCATCGCGTTGAACGGCCACGACTCGTATGGGTGCCTGCCGTATACCGAGCCCAGGGTCGCGCCTTCGACCTTGCCGAGCAAGCTACTCTGATGGTGGTGCGGGTCGCCGGCTGGCTGGGCGCTCGCTGTCCCGGGGAAATACAGCTCGCTACCGTATTGCGGTGCTGTCGACGCGCAAGACGTGACCGGCGCCCGCGCGTAACCTCCGCTCGTGCTGCCGGCGCTACTCGTCGCCGCCGGTCGCTGGCTCACTCCCGTCGTTGTGCACCCGCCACCGCCGCCGCCGCCGCCGCCGCCGCCGCCCCCTCCCCCGCCGCCGCCGGTGTGCTGCGGCGAGCTGCCGCTACTCTGCGGGCTCTTCTTCCACGGGTGGAAACCCTTGCCCACGGCGGCGTCCGCCAGCGGCGGCGGGCTCTTGCTGCTCAGCTTGTTGCATTGTGCCGCCAACATGGCCAGCGGCGTGCCTCGTAGTCCCGGGTGATCCTGAAACAGAGGAATCAGCGGTCCATGCTCAGTCTTTCGATCATTGCGTAGCGATGTGTTGGATCAGAGTCAGTTGACGAATTTAGGGATCGGCTGATCTCTCTGTCTGGTCCGTCTATCGTTGTTTAGATTGTTGTTGGGGGCTGTCCGCCGCATTGAGCTTTTATCGTGGGATAGAAATTTCGCAAGATCTCGTTAGATACAGCAACTTCGATCGAATTGTTCATACCTCCGTTGCTTACCCCGCTACAATGTTCTTGGAATTTTTTAGGGCGCATTTTTGTTCCGATAAATTTGAAATGACGGCTCGAATTCGAGCGATGTCGCACTCATATATAGAGAGAATCGTCGAGCGAATATTTTCATCCCGCGCTGAAGAGAGTGAATTTGACAACAGAACCTTGACAGCTTCGCTAGTGGTATAGATAGAAACAACATATGCAGGTGCACACATATCTCGAATTCGCGTGTTTGCGCGGAACATTACACTAACTACAACTCTGAACCATAGATCTCCCCATTAAAGAGTCCGCAAGTTTTCCAGGAAACCGCGGGCTCGACCCTCATTAGATTCCAAGACATTTTCTTCGCATGGGATAAGGGCATGTATTATGTTAATAAATTCTCGATTAAGCGCGGCCGACAAAGTCGGCCGCTCTCGCATGATCTCTATCGTCGATTTACAATGTGTTAACAACACGCCTGCACGCGTGCGCGCACGTACCGATCTCTCTCCGAAATTTTTCACGTCGGAAGCGCTTGTTACCGGGCAATCTCGCCGGCGCGATTACGCAAATCGGTAATAACAACTCTGGAGTAGGGGCAACGGATTACATATCGCGCGTATCGATTCACAGGACCGACCATCGGGATACTTTTTCGTGCTGGCTTCGTGGTTCGTAATATCGAAATCTGGCGCGGTCGGTGGACGCCCATAATCGCCGCGTCTAAATCGATTTAAAAAGAAGCCCAACCCGGGCCCGGGCCCGCCCGAGCTAGCAGCGATAGAGAAAGAGAGAGAGAGAAAGAGGAAAGCGCCTTCCCCTAAGGGCGTATAATGACACTAAATTGCCGCTCCTATCCTAGAAGAGAGATCGGAGATTAGTCGCTGAAAGTAATGAGACCCGGGTGGAGGCGCTCGTGGGGCCCGAGTCTCTCTCTACCCTAGACCGGTTTCATGCAAATTGATCTCGAATCAAGCACAAGGTCGACGTACGTTTTCCACGAGGCCGTATTTGAGAGCGGGCTCGAAACGTATCAAGATGTAGACGTCTTCGTTGTTCCGTGGGAAGACGCGACGCGAGGCGAAGACGAGGTACTACAGCGTGTCGCGGCGCGCGAGATTATCGGCGGATCGAGATAGCGGTCCAGTATTCCGAGTGAGAAATATAAGCGGGATGTTGCTTGCGCGATGATACGATCTCATTGACGTGCGAAAGCCGACCGTATCAATGGGGAACGTGTGAGAGCAACGCGAGAAGTACGAGGGAAAAAGTGTACTACGATTGCGAATATTCAAGTAACGAGATGAGAGACTTCGCAAGGGGCCACCGCAAATTATCGATATAAATCGAGCGAGAGTTTGACAAGGAGACGATTCGAGTTTTACGACGAATTTCTCAGAGTCATCCTCGATCTTTAAAGGCACAGAAAGGCAGAGAGAGAGAGAGGGGGGGGGGAGGGAACTCTCGCGCGCGTGTTCGAGCGGCGAGAAGAATTAGAGGGAGCCCAATTCGAGCGGGAGAAAAATTAGAGCGGACGACAGAAGCCCGGGCCGAAACTTCGGATAACGAACTTCATCAAAAGAGAGAGCAGTTCCATGCAAATCACGCGCGCGGGGGCGGCGGTGGCAGGGGATGAAAGGACAAGGAGAGAAAGAGAGAGAGAGAGAGAGAGAGAGAGAAAGGAAAAGAGCGAACGTCGCTCGGTGGCTACCGAAGGGCCCCGGGAGAGGAGGCTGGCGAGAACGGATCTCGGGCGGATTTGGACGCGGAGAGGTAAAAGCGAGAGGGTCCGCGGAAGCGGCAGGAAATTAAGGTCTGGAGGGCCGCCGCGCGGCCATTAGCAGCCGGCGCCATCGAGGCGACACGCCCCCACGTGGATTCAACCTTGCGCCAACAACACCGGCGAAAGACAACGAACGCGCGGGCGCGCGCGCGCGCGCGCGCTCACCCTTCCAGGACGGTAACGACGAGAGGTGGGCAAAAGGGCGGGAGGGAGGGAAGGTGTGGAGGAAGAGCAAAGGGGAGAGAAAGAGCGGAAAGCAAAGTCGCGACTGACTATCTCCGTGGTCGCTCGAACTCTATCCTTCGGAGAGGAAGAAGAAGTAGAAGAAGAAGAAGAAGAAGAAGAAGAAGAAGAAGATGATGATGAAGAAGAGAAGGAGGAAGAAGGACCGGGAGTGGTCCTGCTCGGTTGCGCCCCGATCATTCATCAGCACGGCACAACAAATATCCCGTTCATATTTCTCCGCGGTAACATGACGTATTGCTGCATGCGGTCGTTATTTAGGGCGCGCGAGTGTGCGAAGCGCCATTACAGGATCCCCCGGTGCTCTCTGTCTCTCCGTCTTTCGCGCTTAAACGCGAGTAATAAGTCAAATAATTCAAACGCGACTGTATCGCGCGAACGCGATTTGTACTCCTCGAGGGGGAGCTTGCGCGCGGCTCGTGCAAAATTGCTGCACTCGCCCTTAAATTATAAATAATGAATACACGAGGTGGAGAGGGTACGACAGAGGGAGGAAGAGAGATAGAAAGAGAGGGCGGAAAGAGCGGAGGTTATTATTCCGAGAAATCTGCGAGCACGGCTACGTGATTGCTCCCCTGTTACGACGTTCTCGACGAATGAGAGCGCTCGTTGACGACGCGGCGGAGGTCGCCGGGCGAACCGCGGAGGGTGAAAGGACGACGAGAAATCGTCTCTCACTCCCGACTCTCGGCGGCGGCGGCGGCTCCGGGGTTGGAGAGATGTGCGCGCGGCGGAAGATCGCTACGGGGTTGAGTGTCTCTCCGCCGGTGTACGAGCCACGCCCTCTTCAAGCTCGATGAGTGCAGGTTGTAGGCAGGAGGCCACGTATCGATCCGCCGGGGACAATATGACAGTGGCCTGCGGAGACAACGACGTCCCTCCGATCAGCTCCCACCGACCGGTCGGTCTCCATCGCGGAAAGCCGGTGGATACACGCCTTTCATGGAGCGCGTACTGCACGGTTATACGTTGCGTTACGTTATGCTGCGGGACCGTCTCGATCACATACGTCATTATACCGCTATACCGCCTCTCTCTCTCTCTCTCTCTCTCTCTCTCTTTCCTCGAAGTGACGTGGATCTGTTCCCCGCGCGGGAAATATTAATGGAGTCACTTTGCGAGTCGTACTCGCGAAATTCCTTCGAGTGAAACTCCACTCGCGAAGTAGAGCGACAGAGTCGCTAGATCGGGTAAATAGTTTCGTTGGTAGTTGAAGAGTGAACTCGCGATACACGTTAGACTTTCTCTTCTATTTAATATTTAAATGAAGATTTATATGGTTACGCTGTAATGCGCCAGTGATATACACATCGAAACTTGGTGTGTTTCACAAAATTCGCCTCAATCGATTGAAACACCCATTCGTATAGTTGAAGAGTCCACTTGAAATTTAAGTGGAACATTTAGTCTCATGATTTCGAATGGCCTCACCCCACCGTCGCTTGGAGCGAATCTTCGCTCGCTTTGACCGACAGTATTTTACGGCCGCACGTTCTCGCGAGGGATTATGCAGTTGAATAAGCGAGTCGTCATCATCGTCCTCGTCATCGAGGTCTCGCCGGAAACGGCGCATGAACGGTCGCTTAGGTGAAAAATGTATAGTGCGAAGTAGACGAAGCGTAAAGAACAGTACCGAACTATCCGACGCCGACGTCGGCACCGGCCCTGGAGTCCCTCGCGCCCTCCTGTCGGCGTGGTTAAAAGGGAGCCGACGTGAAATGGGCACCGGTAGGATCCTTTGTTTTAGCCGCGTGACGTCACGCCCCCTCGTACCCAGCTAGGACTAATAATGCCTCGAGCTACGCCGCGCATAAATTAAAACGAAGAATCCTCGCTGTCTCGCCTCTCGTCCCGTCTCCGCGTCGGATATTTTTCCGAGAACTCATCCGCGCGCGGTCCTACTCTCTTTCTCTCTGTCCTTCTCTCTCTCTCTCTCTCTCTCTCTGTCTCTCTCATAAGGTCTCTCCCGTACATGCCAGGAAGTATCGACCGCCGGCACGAGATCGTTAACTAGATCGAGCACTCGACACCCTGAGCCGACCTGGCTCGCCTCGACTCGACGTTGAGTCGACGCCGCCGGAAAATAAAGCGGAAACGCCGGCCGATCGTTGCTGCACGAGCCGCGTGACAGCTGAACGTGAGGGAGGTAAAAGATCCGACAGGCGAGGGTGCGAAGCAACAAACCGTGGGGGTGTCCACCGGTCGAGCTTCGTGGCAAACCGCATCTGACGGCCGTGTCAAACTTTCGTTCCCCTTTCTGGTCGCGCGCGCGCGTGCAGAACCCTCGTTCGCACGTTAACCGAGTCGTCGCCGTCGTCGTCGCCGTCGCCGTCGCTGTCGCCGTCGCCGTCGCCGCTTCGCGTGCGTGCTAACGAAGACATCGACGAGACATCGTGCGGTGAACCTTATCAATCCCTCTCCCCTATTCTCCCATTCTTTCTTTCTGCCTTCCTCTTCTCAGAGTTAGTCAGAGTTAGTGTTTTCGATTTAGTAAAAAAATAAAAATTAAATATCTAAAGAATCAAGATACGAATATTGTAAAAAGATGTATATGTTTATTCGGTGCACTGAGATTTATATATCCGTAATTATTGGAGTATATAATAAAAGAAAATAATAATTTATAATTGACGCGACTTCCTTCGGAGCGGGCAGACATTTATCTCTCTTTCTCTCTCACGCGGCATTCTCGCAAACGAAGAGGCCGTCTGCATCCGTTAACGACGCTCGAAGACATTTTTTCCCTCACG